TGTTTCTTTTTTGTTGTAGCAAAGGAGCTAGACCAAAAAAGGGGAAGTAACGCTAAATAAAGGAGAAATAAAGATTAATTGCAAAGAATAAGTGAGGTGTGGGTGAAATATTTAAGTAAAGTAAATGTGCAAGTGACTGAGAGGAAGAATCGGGTGAGCACAGATAACTAGCTGAGGGAGAGGAGCTGAAACCATGTGAGATCCTCCCTGAAGAAGCTGCTTGATACGGGAAATGGAAAGTTGTAGGAATTGGGGGGGAGGGTTGGAAAGGACACCAGATTACCAGCTGATGCACAGTCACTTGGCAGAAACCAGGCTCCAGCTCATAGACAGTCGGAATATGAGTCTGAAGGGAATGACGACCAGCACTTCATATCACCAAAGAAACATGGAGAAGTGAGGTGGTTGGAGCCCAGAGAAGGACAGATTCATCCTGCACCTGAAAGAAAAATGCGTTGGAAGTTAGGGAGACACTGAAAACTCTTTGAAAGAACCAGTTTTCAGTTAAACTCAGAGTCAAGAAAGCTCTCTATCTCTCTACTATCTATCTGTCTATCTATCTATCTATCTATCTATCTATCCATCATCTATCAATTATCTATCTATCTATCTATCTATCTATCTATCCATCATCTATCCATTATCTATCTATCTATCTATATATCTATCTATATATCTACCTACCTAATCTGTCTCTCAGTGCTGAATTTTAACCCGGGATCTTGTCCATGCCAGACAAACTCTCTACCACTGAGTTCCATCTCCAGCTGTCAGAAAAAGAAGACTTCCCTGGCCAGGAAGTGAACCCAGGCTACGGTGGTGAGTGGTGAGAGCACCAACTCCTACCACTAGGTCACCAGAGAACATCATGGGTTTCTTTGGCTTGGCCTGCTTACCTGCTTGCCGGCTTCCTCCTTCCTTCCTTCCTTCTCTCCTTCCTTCCTTCCTCCTTCCCTCCCTCCTTCCTCCCTTCCTTCCTTCTTTCCTTCCTTCATTCTTTCCTTTCTTCCTTCCTTCCTTCCTTTTCTCCCTTCTCCCCCTCTTTTCCTCACTTCCTTCCTCTTTTTAGCACAGGGCACCATGCATCCTGAACAAATGCTCACTGAGCTACATCCCATCCCACATTTTACCTTTTATTTTGAGGAAGAATCTCAGGAAATTGCCCAGGCTAGCTTTGAGCTTGTGTGTCCTCCTGCCTCAGCCTCCAAACAGCTGGAATCCAGGCCTATGCCCCCAGGGCCAGCTCGACGAGGATGAGATCAAGAGCAAGCAGCAAGTGCAGAAGACAAAGGACAAGAAGATGCTGTGGGACGACATCGGCTTTTCACCATCCGAGGAGTCCGGTCCCGAGGTGAGCAGCTTCTAAAAGCTAACCCTGATCAAGCTGGCTGTGTCCTCTTGGAACACTGCCGTTCCATTAAGGTAAATAATAATAAAGTGTCTCTTTTCAAAGAGAGTGTGTAGAAAAGTCCTGGTCAGGACTGACCACTTGGTATTGGATAACCAGTTAGGAGCTCATCCCTGGGAAACACTAATTCTCTCTCTCTCTCTCTCTCTCTCTCTCTCTCTCTCTCTCTCTCTCTCTCTCTTTGTGTGTGCAGACAGAGTTTCTCTGTGTAACAGCCCTAGCTGTCCCAGAACTCCCTTTGTGGGCCAAGCTGGCTTCAAACTCACAAGTGCTGGGATTAAAGGTGTGTATCACCATGCCCAGCTAATTTTCCCACTCTCAACAGTCATTAGTTGCCTGTAGTTCTCTGTCTAAAAGTGGGGTCTGGTGAGATTTCACACACACACACACACACACACACACACACACACACACACACACATACACACACACACATTAACTTGTCTATTGGTGTTGTCCTTGTTCAGGTCTGGTTTAAGGAACCATATTGTTGCGTTATCATGGGTAACGCATCCCTGTCATTTCTAAGAGACTGTGATCTCACAGCAGAATTCCTGGCCCTCAAGATGTTTTGGTTACCTCTCCTGGCATGTTCCCTGAACTTGAGGTGCAGGACTTGTGTTGTAGATGTATCCCCTGGGGCTGGGCAGCCCATGATCGGTCGTTGTTACTGTTTTTTGCTTGTTTGTTTATTTTCTGTGCTTTAACCAGTCTTGGCTTTCTGTGGTGGCCTGTTTCCCGCCAAGAGAAGTTTCTTTGATGAGTGTAACAAAAGACACTTTTCTGAGATTGATGTGTTTGTTTGGTGGCAGGGGCGGCCACAAGCACGTGTGTGCCTTGGTGCGCACGTGGGGTCAGAGTGCCACCCTCTTCCCAAGCCACGTCTCTCCTCCCTCCCTGTTGTTGAGCACAGTCTCTCTTGCTTCTGCTGCGGCACCGCTTAAGTGAGCTTCTGGCCGTTCTCCACCACCCACCTCACCATGGGCATGCTGGGGTTACAGATGCGAGCCACAGCATCCAGCCACTGCATCCTGCATCTTACGTGGGTTCCGGGAATTGAACTCAGGCCCTCAGGCTCGCACAGTAAGCACACTTTGGCCCTCTGAGCTCTCTCCCTGACCCTCCAGACGGTTCTAAAGACATTCAACTTTACTAACAGCCAAAGAAACACAGATGAAACGAAACTCCATAAAATTGGATAACACCAGTGTTACTAGGTGTTTGGGGAAACACGACCTCTTGGACTTCTGGGCGGATTGCAAAAGGGTACGCGGGCACTCCATTTAGCAATGCGTTCTAAAATTTAAAGTGTGCATACTTTTTTCCGCCTCCGAGTCAGAATTTTGTGTGTGTGTGTGTGTGTGTGTGTGTGTATACAGCCCTGGCCATTCCACAGAAATACTGACACATGAGCAAAAAGATATTTGCACAGGGATGTTCAATACCGAACTATTTGTTAAGCAGAAAAACAACCCCCCTCAAAAAAAACCTAAAACTGAAATAGTCCGAAGTCTAGTGCAGCAAACTAAATAAATAAGTTATAGCACATTATACCTTGAAACATCTATAAGCTAGAGCAACCCAAAACAGTGGGACAAATATGTCCATGCTGACATCTTAATCTATCCAAGACATACTGGTAAGAAAAACATGCAAGTTGCAGAAGAGCATGTATCTAACTCATTTTTAGCTTTGTTGTTGTTGTTTGTCTGTTTGTTTTGGTTTTTTGAGACAGGGTTTCTCTGTGTAGCCCTGGCCGTCCTGGAAATTGCTCTGTAGACCTGGCTGGCCTGGAAGTGCTAGGATTGAAGGCGTGAGCCACCGCCACCCTGGCTTCATTTTAGCTTTGTAAAAACAGTACTTTTTTTATGTGTATTAGAACAGTATTTAATAATTGTTGTAGTTTATTTTTTCTTACTCCCTCCTTCTTACTCCTTCCTTACATCCCTCTCTCCTTCCTTTTCTCGCTCTCCCCTTCCTCCCTTCCTTCCTTCCTTCCTTCCTTCCTTCCTTCCTTCCTTCCTTCCTTCCTTCCTTCCTTGTGCTAGGAACCAAATCCAGGGTCTCATATGCGCTGGGCAAGCTCTCGACCACTGAGCCACTCCAGCAACATAAATTTTTAAATTATACATTTCTGTACTTAGGGAGGTGTCTGTATTAATAAAACACATTTATTACTTTTGTCATTAGAAAAGAAGATTTTTAATATCAGTCTACAGGAAGCGCTGATCTCTGCACTCAGCATTTACAGCTACTTTAAGAGGGCTCCAGGCAAATGTCCCAAGCCTTTTTCCAGACAAGGGAACACTCAGTTCTGCGCTGACACTGGGAATCTTGTCTCTGTAGTGTCTGAGATATAGGACGAGATCCACCCTGAAGCCATTATGGAGAAGCTGAGAACCAGCATCCAGGGGCAAAAGCTGAAAAAAAAGCCAAAGAGTTCACTGCAAGGAGCCAGGCAGAGATGCAAAACCAAGTGGAGGGGCCTGGCACACAGAGCCAGCCAGCACTGAGTGGAAGTGATGGATGATGGTTCTCTCAACAGAGAAGATATTCTCACATCCTGAGAAGAAGCCATAAAGAATGCAAGTCAGCAGTGAGTGAGTCACCATAGTGTAATGAACAGTGAAAGTAGATCACTGGGTGGGGAGACGGCTCATTGGTAAAGTCCTTGCTGCTGGAAAGTGAGGACCAGAGTTCAGATCCCAGCACACACAGGGCGGCTCACAACCATCTCTTAACTCTAGTTCCAGGAAATCCAGTGCCCTCTTCTGGCCTCCCAAGGGCACTACAAATCTGTCACACAGACATACATAAATCTATTCATACATACGTGCAGGCAAAATACCCAGACATGTAAAATAAATAAATCACTTTCTAAAAAGGAAATTGAAGATCCTGTTGAAAAATATGTAAATAAATAAATAAATAAATAAATAAATAAATAAATAAATAAATAAGGCACAAAGGTAGGCTTTAGTTTAGTGCCGGCCTCTACATGTGCACATATATGCGTGTGCACACATGCACAAGCACACACATCCCACACACGAATGCCCACATGCATTTGAATGTGTATACATAGATGTGCCCATACACTCACAAAAACAATGTAGAAGCCAGATGTGGTGGCTTATGCCTGAAATCTCACTACTCAGGAGGCTGAGGAAGGAAAATTATCAAGAATTCAAAGCCAGCTTGGGCAACATAGTGAATTCTAAGCCAGCCTGGGCTATAGTGTATGACCCTGCCCGCCTCTAAGAAACAAGCAAACACAAACCAAAACAACTGAAAGAAAGAAAGAAAGAAAGAAAGAAAGAAAGAAAGAAAGAAAGAAAGAAAGA